CTGGCCGCCTCTGTGGAGGGACTCGCCAGCCGTGGGCCACGGGCTCTGCCGAGAGAACTGTGTGACGGCAGTCGCCCACTGACCGACGGGCCCTTCGGCTGGCCGGCAGAGCCCAGCTCCAGCCACGCAATGGCACTCTGCCTCGAGGCCCAACACACCAGCCCGGCCGCCGGCTTTTCTGGCAGCTCTGTATCGGAACCAATAAAGTACACTTGTTCACAGAACTGCATCCTGTCTGTGTGTCTGCTTACCCCGGCCCCCTGGGCGGGGCCTCTCCCTCTGCTGGGCCCTGGGGAAGGGTGAGGAGGGAGGCCTCACCTGACCTGGGGGTCAGGCGGGGCTGGCCGTTCACCTCTCGCAGCCTCTGGACTCAGCCGCTAACGCGTGTCACTTCTGTTCGTAGTTGTTTCCCCAAAGCTTGCGTGCGCCTCCGTTTGCCATAATTGCGTTTGATTTGCCTTGTGACAAGTAGAGCCCGCTGTGTCCTGGTAAGTTGCCTTCCTCCCTGGCCGAGCCCATGTCCCCGGCCGGCTGGGAAGGCGCTGCCCCTGGCCCTGCCTGCTCTGACCGCCGGCTCCCCGGCCTGTCTGTCTCCACAGAGGTCCAGTTCCGGCCGTACCGCACGGATGACTTCATCACGCGCCTGTACTACGAGACGCCGCGGTTCACGGTGCTGAACCAGACGTGGGTCCTAAAGGCGCGCGTGAACGACTCGGAGCGCAACCCCAACCTGTCGTGCAAGCGCACGCTGTCCTTCCAGCTCCTCCTCAAGAGCAAGGTGACGGCGCCCCTGGAGTGCTCTTTCCTGCTGCTCAAGGGCCCGTACGACGACGTGAAGATCAGCCCTGTTATCTACCACTTTGTCTTCACCAACGAGAGCAACGAGACGGACTACGTGCCGCTGCCCATCGTCGACTCCGTGGAGTGCAACAAGCTGCTGGCTGCCAAGAACATCAACCTGCGGCTCTTCCTGTTCCAAATACAGAAGTAGGCAGCCCCGTGGCACTGCCCACGCCTGCCCGGCAGCGGCCTCACGGCGCCATCGCCCATCTCAGCCAAGGAGAAGGAACAGAAGCGAACACTGGGACGTCTGCATGCGTGTGCGAAGGTGGGAGCGCCCCCCTCGCCCTCTGCCCCACCTCCCCTGTCCCGGGCGCTGGAGGCCGGGCCACCGCAGAGGAGACGCTGCTCCGGGACCCAAGGGGCGCGGCGCAGCACGGCAGCCTGGCCCCGGCCCCTACCGCGCAGCGGGCCACATGCCTGCTCTGGGCCACACATGGGGCTGCGCACGGCCCCTGGGCCGGGCTCGGGGGCGCTGACCTCAGACGGCATATTTGATTGCAATTAAAAAGGCACCCTTGTTTCCTACTTTCTGTTTTGTTCGAGGGGAAGGCGTGGCTGTAATTGGACAGAATGGGGTCTTCGGTTTGGCCAAGGGTCAGAGCCCGCCCATCCCTGTGACTGCACCTTCACGTGCCCCGCCCCAGGAGAGACTTGGAGTTGCTGCCCCCTCTGTCACAGGCCTGGGCAGGGGAACGGGCGGGGCCGGGGCTCTCTCTAGCCCAGCACATCCCACCCCCAGCTGCTCCAGGGAAGCAGGACTTGGCCGCCAGGGCTCAGCGACTTTTCGGAATGCAGGGTGATTTTCTGTCTCTTCCCAGGGAACAAATTAAACCCTTGACAAGGCTCTTGTACAAGTTATGCAAATTTAGCAAGAGAGAATCTATCTTCTGTATTCAGCCTTAAGGACTCAGTGTCCCCAGGCTGTGAGGAGAGTTCTGGGGTCTGCCGGCGGTGAGCAATCCTGGCTGTGTGAGGGTCTGAGTGGTCCAGCTGCCCCCATGCTGCTCTCAGGGACCAGCTGCTGGCCCTGCATCCAGGGCTCTGCATGGAAGTCAGCGCTGGGCAGTGTGGTTTCTCACCCGAGGGAGGTGGGCCCCCCGAGGTCCTGCAGTCCTGCCCCAGAGCTGCAGTGAGCAGGCCCAAGTGCAGGCCTCACAGGGGGAAGGAGCCCTGCCTGGGGATCCCGGGACCCTGGGGCCTACTGGGAAAGGGAGAGCTCGGGGCCCTGCTTAGGAGACAAGGCTCTTCTGCAATAGTTTCTCGTTGCTTCAATACCAAAGAACTGTTTGCTTCGCCCCCAGCCAGGCCCACCCCGTGCTCAGAGCAGCCCCTGCTGGCCTGGCCCCCTATTGCCCAGGCCCTGCAGGCTCAGTGGGCAGGGCCGCCCTGGCCTATCTCTGGGGGCTCCTTTCTCTCCTGGCCCTCGAGGTGGGGAGCTGAGAAGGGGAGTGAAGGAGCTATGGGGTACAGCTCGAGCCTCAGCCAGTTCCTAGTGGACGAAGCAGCCCTCCCAGGCTGGCAGGTCCCCTCTTCCCCACCCAGCGCATGGGGCTGGCAGGGGTCCCATCCTACAAGGCCGACTCAGCCTGGCTTGCCCTCCACAAAGAAAGACCCCACCCCAGCCCCAGCCCATCCTTGTGGGCATCTGACGCAGGCACACCCTGGTGTTGTCCCACTGCCCTCAGGGGCTGCCCCTGCCTGCCTGTGGGCGCAGAGGATGACATTCATGTCAACACGGGCCAGGTCTCCTGTGCATGGATGGTGCCCTGTCACCCTGTTGGGTCTCTTGGGGATGGACACCCTCTCTGTCGATTCCAAAGTGACCATATTGTGAGCGGGGCCAGGACAGGGGTGGGTTTGCCTGGTCCGTGTGTGCCTGGGTGCCTGTGTGAGATTGAGGAAGCAGAGGGGCGGGCCCCCGGCAGCTCTCCTGGGTGGGGCAGGTGAAGGTGTGTGGCTGCCACAGAGGGCCAGGCAGGAGAAGGGCAAAGCCAGGGCTGGGCTAGCAGACCTGTTGTGGGGGTGGGTGGGTACCAGAGGGGCTGGGCTCTGTGGCACCAGGATCAGAGTTCCAGCTGCTGGAACACACAGCTGGGGGCACATGGCCCTCGAGTTCCAAATGCCCAAGTGAGTGCATGGGAGTGGGTTGGCACCCAGGCAAGGCCCTCCCTGTAGGGGTGTGGGTGGGTTTGGGGGGGCCCAAGGAGACTGCTAACCCACCAATACGGCCCCGCCCTGTGACAGTCGTCTGGGCAGCTGAGCCTCACAGCCAGGTGGAGCCAGGCACTTCTGGGACTTTGCAGTGCGCTCTGGGCCATCGCTGGAGGCTGGCGCCATAAACCTCCTTGTGTCATCTCACTGGGAGTCACTGGTTTACTGGAGGATGTCCCAGTCCTGTCTTAAGAAAGGAGAAGACACCAGCAGTCTGTCTCCAGGATCCCGGTCCACCTTGGCATCCTGAGCTGGTGAGGGTTGAGGGAGGCCTGAGGGCACAGGTCGAGCCAGCCCCCCTTCCCTTCTCTCACCCCCACACTTCCCTTTAAGCACTACATCTCTCAGTACGCCCAAAGTGACACATTTACAAAAATAATAAAAATAATTTTTTAAAGAGAGGAGTGAAGAGGTGTTTTTACCGCTGTCGGAAACGACTTAACATTATGTTGCTTTCGTGGTCTGTGTTCTCTTTGGATATTTCTGTATGTGACTACAGTTTTTAAAAAGGTCTAAACCAAGTTTTGTTTGTATTTCCTTACAAGAAGACAGCCTCGTGGATGGGCTTCCCTGGGCTCTGATAGCCTCCCAGCCAGGGGTCAGCTGCTGGCCCCGAGCCTGCGGCCGCCCCACCCCAGGCCTTCAGCCCTTGCTGGCATCCTCATATGCACATTCCTGTCTGATCAGTGGGGAGGCCAAGGCTAGAGAAGCTGAGTCCTCTCTGAAGGGAGATCAGGCCCCAGGACCTGGGCTGTCCTGGGAATGTTGGTGCTGGAGTGGGAAAGGCTCTCGGGGGAGGTGCCGTCTCACCCGTTCTGCTGAGACAGTCTCTGTTTCCATGGCTCGGCTCCCCCATGCCCACCCTGCCTCTCACTGTGCCCCTTGCACCTCACCAGCCTGCCTGCCAAGCAGCACCTTGGTTTCAAGCCTCCGGTCCTGTCTCCTGGGACCCCACGGTGGAGGGAGGGGGAGGGAGCACCACACCCTTCAAAGAGGAGGCCGTCCTGCTGCTCTTCAAGCTCACCCTCACGCCTGCAGCCTCCCCTGGACCTGGGGACCAGCCACCTTCCACATGGCTCCCTCCCGGGTACCCCACTGGGTCTGTTTCCATTTCCACAGGAAATAAAAGTGCCCATCTCCCACTCCTTCCGGGCCTCCTCTGGGGACTTTGGGGCGCGAGCCCTGGCACCTAGGGCCCAGGGCCGCGCGGCAGGGTGGGGACTGCGAGCCCCGAGGCCCGGCAGGTTTTCGAGGCAGGGGTGGGGGGAAAGGACGGATCTTTAGAGGTCCCCAGGCTCCCCACACCCCCGATCTAATGCAGTTGAGAGGTTGGTCACAGCGCTCCGAGCCCGGATCCTGCTCCCTTTACCTCTCAGCACAAGACGGTTTTGCAGTTTTAACGAGCGCACGCTGAGTTTTCCAGGAATACAAAACTGGCGTACACACTGAGGAAGCAGGACCGCGCTCGATTCTTTTTGAAACACACAGCCCCCCTCCCGCCGGTAGCACTGGGGGTCGGAGTCCCCACGTGTGACGACTGTGGAGCGTTCAAGGCTGATCCGCAGGCTCTGCGGGGCGCCTCCTCTGATCGTGCCCCAAATCTGAGTGCTCAAGTGCCCGTGGTCTCCGAGGACTTCCTCTCCTCCCACGCGAGGGCAGGCCGTTCCTCAGGTCAAGTACCGTGGGTGGGTAGGTTTGCTTGTGTGCGGGATGCGGCAGCACGCGGCGGGAGCCCAGGAGACCCCATCCCAAGGGCGGATGCGGGATACGGGATGCGGGGCGGGGCAGGGCGGGGCGGGGGGGGCGCTCAGCTCTAGAGGAAGACCCGGGAGTCCATGGAGACGCCCGCCGCTCTTCCCGCCCCTGCGCCAGCCCTACTACAACTACCAGGATGCATCGGGCGGTTGAACTACACTTCCCGGGACACTCCGCGTCAGGAGTGGGCCTGCGCGCTGGGCCTGGGGGTGGGGCTGCTGTGGCGACGCTAGAGCGCGGGAAGTCCGGAACCCTCGGCACGGCGGCCGGAGTATGAGCTTGGACCGCGAGCTTCGCCGTGAGTCCAGGGACTAGCGCCCGAACGCGGGGGCCGGGGGCGGGCCTGGCCCTCCCGGGCAGAGAAGCTTAGCACCCAGGCCTCGTTCTTCTTTCTGCAGAGTTAAGTAAGGCCAAGGCTAAGGCCCAGAGGAGCGGGCAGCTGCGGGAGGAGGCAGCCGTCTGCCACCAGCTGGGGGAGCTCCTGGCTAGCCATGGTGCGTGGGGTGGAGTCCGGGCCTGGGAGCGAGGATCCGGGAGGACGGGGTGTCGGGGGGGGGTACGGGGGGGGCCTTCCTGAGTGCCGGCCGGCCGCTGCCCCACTGGCCCTCGCGGCCCCTGGCCCTCTGCCCGGCCAGACTGAAGCCTGTCCCGCCCGCCCAGGGTGCTACGCGGAGGCCCTGCGAGAGCACCAGCAGGAGCTGCAGCTCCTGGAGTCGGCCGACGACCCCCTGGGCTGCGCCGTGGCCCACCGCAAGATCGGAGAGCGGCTGGCGGAGATGGAGGACTACTCGGCCGCCCTGCAGGTGGGCGGAGGCCGCGACGTGGACCCCCACGCTGGCCACACCCAGCTCTCCTGGGCTCTCATATCCTGGGGGTCCGTTTCTGAGAAGGGAGGCCCAGTCTCTGCTGTCCAGGCCTCTGGCTGGGGGGGAGAGGGGGACACGCTGCGCTGGGCCCTGGTAGCCTAGTCCTCGGGTGGGTGTGCCACAGGCCCTCTGTCCACACAGAGCTGACCTGGCCCCGGCTTCTGGGGCTGCCACAGCCCAGCTAACTTCCGGTCAGTGTCTCCCCCAGTGACTTTGGCTGGTCTGAGTGTGGTGCTACGGTCCCCACAGTCAGCCCTTAGCATAGAGAAAATGGGGTGTTGCAGCCTAGTTTTGGCCTGCTCTGTGGGGGCTTGGGGGACACGTGGGGTTTGCTTGACGTGGGGTTGGCTCACAGCGACCATTCTTCTGTGCTGCAGCACCAGCACCGCTACCTGGAGCTCGCATGTTCCTTGTCCAACCATGTTGAGCAGCAGAGGGCCTGGGCCACCATTGGCCGCACCCACTTGGACATCTTTGACCACCACCAGTCACAGGATGCCTTGCTACAGGCACAGGGTGCCTTCGAGAAAAGCCTGGCTATCGTAGATGAGAAGCTGCAGGGTAATTGCCCTTGGAGACTGGCCCTCCCCACCTTCTGCCTCCTGAGCTCTGCAGGGAGAAGAGGCTACAGCCCCGTTGCCCGCCCTGCCCGTGTGGTGGGTCCACCTGTCTGGACCCTCCTTTTGTGAGATTGAGATTGGTTCTCAGAAGCAGTAGCCCCCCCCCCCGCCCCCCGCCCTCTGCCCCGCAGAGCCTGTGCTCCTCACGATCTCGGGTCCGGCTGCCTTTGCTCTTTTTCACTCTGCTCTACCTGCAGCAGAACCCCTGGCACCTACAGTGAGAGGCTGGAGGAGGGGTCCAGGAGAGGTTGGCCAGGGCCCAGGGCTGGAGACCCCAAGTGGGGGTAAGGCACTGAGTGTCTGGAGGGGCGTCTTCCAGGCTCACTGGCCAAGAGAGAACTGAGTGAGATGAGGACCCGACTTTACCTCAACGTGGGCCTCACCTGTGACAGCCTGCAGCAGGCCGCGCTATGCCACGCCTACTTCACGAAGAGCATCTTCCTTGCCGAGTAAGGCCCCCCGCTCGGCCCCAGGAGGGAGTGGCTGGGGCCTGGGCTGCTCCCAGGGTCCTCCCGAGAGGGCAGCCGGGCTGACCTCACCCCTCTGCCCAGTCAGTTTCCTGTTAGCAGAGGGGCAGCCTTGGCTTTGTGGGGGCCGGAACCCTAAGTGGCATCGGTGGGTGCTTGCTGTGCTGTCCCTAAGCGACAGTGCCCCGGGCACTGAGATCCTGTCCCACCCCCAGGCAGAACCACCTGTACGAAGACCTGTTTCGCGCCCGCTACAACCTCGGCGCCATCCACTGGCGGCGGGGGCAGCACTCTCAGGCCATTCGCTGCCTGGAGGGGGCGCGGAAGTGCGCACGCACCCTGAAGCAGGGCTCCATGGAGAGCGAGTGCTGCCTGCTCCTCTCGGAGGTGCTGGTTCTTGGTGGCTCCGGGCTCTGCTCCCGGGTGGGCTTGGGCCTTCAGGAGCCTGCGCGCCTCACCTTCCCTTGCCCTCCAGGTCCTCCAAGACCTAGGGGATTTTTTGGCCGCCAAGAGAGCCTTGAAGAAGGCCTATCGGCTTGGTTCCCAGAAGCCTTTGCAGAAGGCAGTGGTCTGCCGGACTCTCAAGTATGGTGAGCCTAGGAGGGGATCGGGGGGGTGCTGAACCCCCTGAGAAGGAGTAGGGAGGGCTCCCATCCTTCAGCAGAGGAGGCCTGGGCGTGTGTCTTTTGGGAGGTGGCAGCGCCAGTAGGGCACCCGTCTCCCCCCACTTCTTGTTGGGAGGGGCCTCATTTATGGGGCCTCATTCTCTGAGCTACATTCAGCACAGAGTGTCAGAGGGGCACCCAGGGTGGTCAGGAGACTAATGTCTATGCACAAGCCAGCTTCGTTGGCAAACTAGAGAAAAGCCGCCCCGCCTAATGGGGTGGGAGCGTGGACGGTGCGTGTGGCCTAGCAGGACTGGTAAGTGGCGGTCAGCAGGCCCCCACCCCATGCTGCGGACCAGCCCCTGCCCTGACTTGTCGTTAGTTGGTTCTTCTATTCTTGCTGCGACCCCACGAAGTAGTTCCTCCTACCACCCCCCTTACCAGTGGGTGAGCGGAGGCTCGGGCAGGTGGCTGGCTGCCTAAGGGCACAGGGCCAGGCCCCAGGCTGTGCCGCCCCCGCACCAGGCTCTTTCTGGCAGTGCTCGCGGTGGTCCGCCTGCAGCAGCAGCTGGAGGAGTCTGAGGAGAGTGACCCGCGGGGCGCCATGGGCATCTGCGAGCAGCTGGGTGACCTGTTCTCCAAGGCGGGCGACTTCCCCAAGGCTGCCGCGGCCTACCAGAAGCAGGTGCGTGCCCGGGCGGGGGCGGGGATGAGGGCACTGGGGCTGTGGGCTGCGGGGTGTGGCGCAGCCCTGGCCTCACTGTTGCCGCCTTCCCAGCTGCAGTTTGCGGAGCTGCTAAACAGGCCGGGGCCTGAGCTGGCCGTCATCCACGTGTCCCTCGCTGCCACCCTGGGGGACATGAAGGACCACCGCCAGGCCGTGCGCCACTATGAAGAGGAGCTGAGGCTGCGGGACGGCAGCGCCCTGGAGGTGAGGGGTCACGGCGCCCTGCCCTGCCCGGGGCTCTGTCCCAGGACTGCTGCCCTTGGGGATGGGCACGGGAGGGCTGTCGTCCTCCTGTCTCATGTGGGCAGCCATGGGGAGCCGGGGCCAGCTGGGTGCGGGGGCGGCCGCCACCGAGTTCACGCCTCCTCCTCTAGGAGGCCAAGACCTGGTTGAACATCGCGCTGTCCCGCGAGGATGCCGGGGATGCTTACGAGGTGCTGGCGCCGTGCTTCCAGAAGGCTCTCAGCTGTGCGCAGCAAGCCCAGCAGCCGCGGCTGCAGGTGTGGGAGCCCGCCCACCCATGCTGGGATCCCCACGTACAGCTTCCCCGCGGCCCGCCTGTCCCCCCGTCCCCCGTCCCCATCTCTGCTCTGGCCCTGAGCTGGGTGTCCCCCGCTCCTCAGAGGCAGGTCTTACGGCATCTCCACGCGGTGCAGCTGAGGCTGCAGCCTCAGGAGGCCCCTGGCACTGAAGCCAGGCTGCAGGAGCTGAGAGCGGCTGAAGACGAGGAGGATGAGGGGGACGAGGACGACGAGGAGGACGAGGGGGACGAGGGGAATGCCGCCGCCCTGGAGGCCATCGAGGTGGAGCTCTCAGAGAGCGGTGAGGCTCGGATGCCATGTTGGCAGCCCCGGTGTTCCCTCCCTGACGCCGGGGCCGGGCCGGTGGGTCCTGCTCACAGGCTCAGGATGGGAGGGAACAGCCCAGCGCTCGGTGGGTAACTGGCGCAGGTGAGGCAGGTGGAGGAGGGTGGAGGTGGGGGGGTTGCAGGGAGCCGGGCACAGCCGGGGGACGTTCTTGGAGGGGCCGGTGCCGGGAGGCTGGCGGGCATCTGCAGGGGAGGTGGCTCGGGGCAGACCTGGGGAAACGCACCGCAGGCGGTCCCGAGACCCTCGAGGGCCTGCGCGGTTCCCCTGAGGCCAGCGTGCTCAGCTCCAAGGGGCGGCTGTGAGGGTGGGCTGTGGCGGAAGCCGGCTCAGGCAGCGGGCCAGTGGGTGGGCTTCAGCAGTCAGCTGGCTCCCGGCTGCACGGTCCCTGAGGCCAGAAGGAGTGGCTTCAGTTTTGAACTCGAGGGGCCTCCAGAACCCCCGGGAAGTTTCAGCCTTGCCTTAGCGGGGTGCTGAGCTGGGTGTGGGGGAGGGTCCGCAGGAGGGGCGGGGAGAGAGGACCCAAAAAGGAGAACTTCAGGCGACTCTCCAACTTTCCGATAGGCATAGGCAGTTACCCCCGGAGGAGAAGGGAAGGAGGCGCAGGAGGGAGCCGGGGCGGCGGCGGGGGGGTGTCGGGCTGAGAGCAGGCGGGAGAAGGCAGAGGCACCGGGAGTCGTGCAGGTGGAGGACGCCTGGGCCCCAGGGGCGAGCTGTCTTCACCCTGGGCCTGACGTGGCCCGACAAGGATGCTTCCCAGGAAGGAGACAGCAGAGGTCTGGGGTGGGGGAGGCTGCCCCACAGAGCAGCCTCCTGGGCGCAGCGGAGCCGGGGCAGGGGCTAGGCTCACCTGGGCTGGTGGGCCTGGCTCTGTTCCAGAGGATGAAGCTGACGGGTCCCAGCGGCTGGAGGAGGAGGAGCTTCAGGGCTGCCTGGGCCGGCGGAGGGTGGGCAAGGTGAGCACAGGGGCTGAGCGCGTGTCGCCCTCCCGTGCCCACCAGTGCCCCCCATCCCCTCACGCCTACGCCCCCACGGGGCGACTGTGCCCACAGTGGAACCGGCGCAACGACGTCGGGGAGACCCTGCTGCACCGAGCCTGCATCGAGGGCCAGCTGGGCCGTGTCCAGGACCTCGTGAGGCAGGTGGGCCCGCTGCCCCACCCCAGTCACCCTGCGGCCATAGCAGGGGCTCTCGCTGGGGTACTGTCTCCCCAGGGGCCAGGGCAGGGTACAGGGGCCGGAGCCGGCACTGGGAACTCTGTACTTGTTGTGGCGAGTGTCTCCCTCACTCTGGTGTGATCTGGGCCAGGGCCAGGCTCGGGGGTGGGCCCCGGGGGCCCTCCTCAGGCTCCAGAGCCCCAGGGCAAGGCCAGGCTGGGGGCTACTCGGGGCCAGGCTCCTTCCCATTCTTTGTCACAGGGCCACCCCCTGAACCCTCGGGACTACTGTGGTTGGACACCCTTGCACGAGGCCTGCAACTACGGGCATCTGGGTGAGTCTGGGGCTGCGGGGTGCTAGCATACGATAGGGAGAGGGAAAGGGTCCCTCCCAAGGAAGGGCCTGGGAGCTGGCTCATACCCCCCGTCCACAGACATCGTCCGTTTCCTGCTGGACCACGGGGCCGCGGTGGATGACCCGGGGGGCCAAGGCTGTGAGGGTATCACTCCGCTGCACGATGCTCTCAACTGCGGCCACTTTGAGGTGGCCCAGCTGCTCATCGAGCGAGGAGCATCGGTCACTCTTCGCACCAGGAGGGTGAGCACAGACGCAGGCCAGGCAGGTGTGGGCCGCACGTGGTTGGCGGTACTGCCACTGCCAGCCCTGCTTAGCTGGGTACCCCACAGGGCCGCAGCCCGCTGGAGACGCTGCAGCAGTGGGTGAAGCTGTACTGCAAGGATCTGGATGGCGAGACGCGAGAGAAGGCTGCTGCCATGGAGACGCTGCTCCAGGCGGCCTCTTCGGGCCAAGGCAAGCGGGGACCTCCTCTGCTCCTAAGGACCTCGCTCCGTAGCCTGAGGGTCCCCGGGCCCTGGGTGGCGGGGATGGTGCCAGGCACTGCCTCACAATAGGTTCAATCTCTCTGCAGCTTCCCACAGCTCCCTGGCTCCCCCGACCGTCCCAAGTAACCATGTTTTTGACCCTGAGACTTCTCCTCCCTCAAGTCCCAGCCCAGGACCCCCAGAAGCCTGTCAGGCCAGTGCCAGGGTCTCCCAGGGGCTGGCGGTGCCAGCCGCGGCCAGGCCTTGGAGGAGCAGGCACAAGCTGGCCAGCGGTAGCAGCTCGGATGGGGAGGAAAACCCAGGTCCGCCCCGGCCACCCCAGAAGAGGCCCCGGATGCCCAGCCCCGCCAGTGACGGAGAGGCAGCCACTGCGAGTGCCGGCTGGGCAGCCTACCGGGCGGCCATCCGCAGTGTGGGCAGTGCCCAGAGATACCACCTGCGCCCCAGCCCCCCTCGAGGCCCCGGCGAGGCCCCCAGCCCCCGGGCAGCACTCCTCCCTGAGGAGGAGTGCTTGGCCGGGGACTGGCTAGAAGAGGACTTGCCGCTGGCCCATGGTCATGGGGGCAGCTACCCGCCCCGCCCCCATAGCAGTGCGGATGGCAGCAGACACAGTGCCTCGGGGTCAGGCAGTGAGGCGAGCGCCATCAGGCCTCGGGCCCGGGCCCGGAAGAGCCGGCTGTCCTGTCTCAAGAGTTGGAGTGCACGGGTCAGAGCAGATGGAGCCTGCAGCTCAGCCGCAGAGCCCCCGCGGAGCCCTGATGTCCCCAGGGCCTTGGAGCCCATTGGGGGAAGCCCTGCAGCAGGCCAGCCCTTGGTGGGTGTGCAGGCCTGGAGCAGAGCTGCCTCCCAGGCTGGGGCGGTTGCGGGTGGTGGGCAGGGGGCTCCGTCTTCCCTGACTCAGGCTGTCTTTCCCCGCCCACACCTGCTAGGGTCAGGCCCTGCTCCCTCCCATCCGAGTTCGAGTTCGTGTTCAGCATAATCTTTTCCTCATCCCCGTTCCACAGAGGTAAGGTGTCACCTGTTTTCTCCCAACCCCTGGTCCCCTGTGCGCCACTGCGGGTTCTGGGCCAGGGGATGGTGCCCAGGGGCAGCAGAGGGCCTTCATGGCTGCAGATGGCGTGGAATGTGCGATGCAAATCCATCTGGTTTTATACCCCACCTCGGGGGGGGCTGGCAGCTGGGGGAGGTGATGGCAGACACAGGCTCGGGGAGGCCCTGCGTCCCTAGAAACAGCCCGGAGGTGCTGCATGTGTGCACGGGGCACTGGCATGTCATACATAGGGGCAGGGGGAGAGGAAGGAGCCAGACGAGGGAGCTGTGGATGCCAAGCTGGGATGGCAGGACCCCGGGGGCCGCTCCTCAACGTGTGCGGGAACCTGGCCAGGTACAGGACTCAGCTCGACCTCTGTCCCCACAGCAGGGAGACCCACTCCGTGGCCTGGCTGGCTGAGCAGGCCGCCCAGCGTTACTACCAGGCCTCTGGGCTGCTGCCTCGGCTCTCCCTACAAAAAGAGGGGGCCCTGCTGGCCCCACAGGACCCCATCTCCGACGTGCTGCAGAGCAATGAGGAGGTGAGTGGCAGGCCAGGCCCTGAGTTCGGGGTGTTCGCCAATACTGGGTGCCGGGGGCTGCACACCGCTGGTGCTTTCCAGGTGTTGGCTGAGGTGACTTCGTGGGACCTTCCCCCGCTGACGGACCGCTACCGCCGGGCCTGCCAGAGCCTGGAGCAAGGTAAGGGCCCAGGGGGCCCTGTGGCGGTGGCCTGGGCAGAGGGCTGGGTGTGTGGGCTCCTCCTGCCCGTGCCACTCCCAGGTCCGCGGGCCTCAACTCCCAGGACCCCAGGTGCCCACCAGGGTTCCTTCCCAGCCCACCTGTTCTTGGCTTTTCCTCCCCTACCTAGCAGCCCTGTGTGTAGGTAGTGGGGTGGGGTGGGGGAGATTGGCCCCGTCTGGAGGTAGATGAGCGCCACCCACCGGCTGTGCGGCGTGGCTCCTGGGCCATGGGGTCCACAGGCCTCTGGTGGCAGCCCCAGGGCTCGTGAGTGAGGAGGGGCTGCCTGGTTTGCCTCTCGTGATGCACAGGGCAGGACAGGCAGGCTCTGGCCCTGGTGACGCCACGTCCCCCCTCCAGGGGCGCACCAGCACGTGCTGCAGGCGATGGAGCAGCAGGGCTCGGGCCCCGCGTTCAGTGCCTGCTCCCTGGCGCTGCGCCAGGCCCAGCTCACCCCGCTGCTGCGGGCCCTGAAGCTGCACTCGGCACTCCGGGAGCTCCGCCTCGCCGGGAACCGGCTGGGGGATGGATGTGTCGCCGAGCTGCTGGCTGCCCTGGACACCGTGCCCGGCCTGACCCTCCTCGACCTCTCCTCCAATCACCTGGGCGCTGAAGGGCTGCGCCAGCTTGCTGTGGGTCTCCAGGGGCAGCCCGCCTTGCAGGTAGAGGCGTGGGGAACGGCGGACCGGTACCAGGGCAGCATCTGAACGTCCACATCTAGCCCATCCCTGGGTGGGAAGGTGCGGTTGAGAGTGCTGGCCAATACCCAGCTCCGGGTGGCCCAGACCAGATCCTCTGGGGAACCCATGTCTCCACAGAACTTGGAAGAGCTGGACTTAAGCATGAACCCCCTCGGGGATGGCTGTGGCCAGGCCCTGGCCTCCATCCTACGGGCCTGCCCCTTGCTCAGCACCCTGCATCTCCAGGCCTGTGGCTTTGGCTGCAGCTTCTTCCTGAACCACCAGGCGGCCCTGCGCAGCGCCTTCCAAGGTGAGCTGCCAGGCACGTCCACTCCCTGGCCCCAAGGGCTCAGAGAGCCTCCAGCACAAGGACTCCTAGGGCACGAGCCCAGCTTTCGGGAGCACGTAGGTAGACGTGCAGGTGCTGGACCTGTCTGGGCTCAGAGGGCCGTTGGGTGCTCGCCTGGCCTGGGCGGCCCCCTCAGGACACAGCCCCAGTCCCAGCTACGCTGCAGGCCAGAGCCCAGCCCCACAGCTCTCACCAGGTCTGAGCATCCCGTTTGCCAGAGACGATTCCACCGCAAGCCCACTGGGGCTGCAGAGACCCGCCATCCCAGCCCTGAGAAGCTGGAAACTGGGGTCCTCTAGGGGGCTTTCCACAGAGCTATGAGCACAGCGGCAGGGGAGGAGGGGTCTAGGACTGGGGTGGCAGACGGAGTACTCCCCGACCCACCCCACCACGTGTGGATGTCCCAGCCTAGGGCCTGTCTCAGGTCACCTGGGGCCATCCTGTCGTGAGTAGGGGCAGGTGGAGGACCCCGAAATGGTGGGAAGAAGCTGGGCTCAGGAGTCCAGTTCTGCCCCCTCCCCACTGGGAGACACTGGGCCAGAGCCACCCCAGTTTCCCTGCACACCAAACCTCAGGGACGAGGACGGCTTCCCGAGGGTCACGAGGGTTCTGGGCCCAGGACTGCGGCAGGGCTGGGGGCGGCGGCACGCGGGGCTGACAGAGGTTCTGGCCCTTGGTATAGGCGCCAAGTGCTTGAAGACACTGTCCCTGTCCTACAACGGCCTGGGTGCCTCCGCCCTGGCCCAGGCCCTGCAGAGCCTGCCAGCCCGCACCCTCCTACGCCTGGAGCTGAGCTCTGTGGCCGCCAGCAAGAGCGACCCAGGCCTCACGGAGCCCGTGGTCAGCTACCTGACCAAGGTATGCGGTCAAGGAGGGACACTAAGCCAGAGGCACCTTGGGCCACCCAGGATTGGCGGGTGGTGCTGGGAAGAGGCTTTGCACGTTTGGAAAAAACAGAGGCGGGGAAAAGTTTCTGTAGACCTGCCTGCCTCAGGCTGTGAATTCCTGGCCAGCAAGAAGGACAGCTGGGATCCAGGGAGGCAGGGAGGGCAGGTGCCCCACTCAGTCCGGCTCCCCTTGGGCCTCTGCTGTCTAGGAAGGCTGCGCCCTGGAGCACCTGGGCCTGTCGGCAAACCACCTGGGCGACGAGGCCGTGAGAGATCTGAGCAGGTAATGCCAGCCAGCTCGTGCCACCACCATCCTGCAGGGGTTCTGATCTCAGGGCCCAGGAGCCTGGGGAAGCTGGGGCTCCTTGCCCCAGCATGCCCCGAGGCCTGGCCGCCAGCCACTAGCCTGCCTCCTGGCTGGCCCTCGTGTCTCTCTTCATGCTCCCACGGCTCTCGAGACTCTTTCTCTCTGGTGTGTCCCCTCTTGTCACCTTTTGTCCAGCAGCCCAGGCACGGGCCACGGCTTCTGTGGCCTTCCAGCCTCAGCTGGCTCGCAGGAGTGTGAGACACCCGTGCCAGGCTGGGGGCAAAGCCTGTGGTCCTGGCCTGCAGCTCCCCGAGCCTTGGGGTCACCTGGGGCAGCTTCCCCTCGTGATGGAAGCTGACCCCCAGGCTTCTTCCCTGTCTCAGATGTCTGCCTCTCTGCCCCTCGCTGGTCTCGCTGGACCTGTCTGCCAACCCCAAGATCAGCTGTGCCGGCCTGGAGGAGCTCCTGTCTGCCCTCCAAGGGCGGCCCCAAGGCCTCAGCTTCCTCGGCCTGTCAGGTGAGCTCTGGGTATGGTGGCTACACCTGCCACACTGGAGCTGGTGACACAGCTCCCTCCTCGAGGACCTGCCTTAGGCCCAGGTGCCTCCTCTGAAGGGGCCGTCACTGCCACCAGCCAGACCGCAAGGGTGGGCTGGGCCCCTTGGGGTCGCCACAGTGGAGGACGGTGACCAGTGTGACTGGAAGCAGGTGTGAGCCTCGCTCCTCAAACCGTAGGGCGGGAGGACCGTGGGTCTCTGCCTCTGGCCTGGTCAGCCTGATCCTCGAGACCATGGCCGGGGGACCCAGTGCCACAGGGACTTCCTCGTTCCTGTTGTCACCGAGAGAGGGACGTCGGGCTAGGGTGGCAATACCTGCCTCTGAGGGACCCTCCCACTTCCTGGCCAAGGCTGCCCTGACCCTACCGTCCAGGCCTGTGGCCTGACTTAGCTGGTTTCTCTGGCCACGCCCTGGTGCAGGACCCTACCAGAGCTGTCTTGAGAAGGACCCCAGGGAGGTGCGTTTGGTGAACTGGCCACCCAGCGGCCTGGCACATCTTGCTGGGGCCCAGGGCAGGGCAGACCAGGCTTTGCCGTCTAGGAGAACAAGGGCTGGGAGTGGGTCTACACACAGGGGATCCCTGGGTTCTTCCTGCTCCTCGCCCACGGGCCCACAGGGCCAGGCTGGCTCCTCCAGGAAGGCCCCCCTGAAGGTGGGCTGGTAGGAGACCTGCGCTCAGCTGAGGGGCTGCTCCCCACACACCTGGCTTCTGGGCACCTGCACCCTCTCACCAAACTCCCTGGGTCGTGAGCCTGCTGGGTATTCTCTGGTCTCTCTGAGGATTGAGCCTTGTAGCTCAGTGTCTTGAGACTCACAGGTAGCCCACTGGGTCAATTTTATGGAGGGAGAGACCCAGGCGTCGTCAGACAAGGGCAGAGGCACAGATGTGAATGCGGTGTTTACTTTAGCCAACCTCCCTTGTGCCTGACCACTGGCTGGGAAGGGAGTCCACAGTCCTGGGCACACTAGGCCTGGGAGAGCACACTCCTTCCTAGAGAATTATCGGGCCTCTGCTGGCCTTTGCTCATGCCCCTCGCTGCAGCCCTTGGGGCCTCAGAGGAAGTGTGTTTCCTCCCGAGGGCCACACTGGTAAAGAGGAAAGCCCCACAGGGCCCCCTCTACGAACACCACTGGTTCCCGCGGGCCCCTGGCCATAGCCTGAGGCCTGCTCCTGCTTCCCCTCTGCAGGCTGTGCTGTCCAGGGCCCCCTGGGCCTGCGCCTCTGGGACAACTTAACAGTGCAGCTGCAGGAGCTGCAGCTGTGCAGCAGACGTCTCTCTGCTGAGGACCGGGATGCCCTGCACCAGCTGCTGCCCAGCCAGCTGGGCCCCAAAGCATGCACCCTGGATCGGGGACCCAAGCTCTTCTTCAGGCACCTCTGACTGGCTGAGCCGTGCCCCGCCCTCCCCACACGCCCAAGCCTCTAATAAAGGAAGCCGCTGCTGCCGCCTCCCTCCCTGCTGTGGCCTTCGGAGGGGTTCACCTTGCTGTCAGAGCGCTCTGGAATGAGGCCTCCCTGCCCAATGAGCAGTGAGCCACACCAGCAGAGAAAGGGTTTATTCATAGGCAGCCAAGTGAGGGGACGGGAGGACAGATCTCAGATTGGCTTCCCCAAAGTAGGGGCGTGGGATATTTACGGGACAAAGAAGCAGGTTGGGGGAATTCCTGGCAGCCCAGCGATGAGCACTCCAACACTTTCACTGCCGACGGCCCGGGCCTGGTTCCATGTTCGGTGAACTAGATCCTACAAGCTGCGTGGCCAAAAAGAAAAGAAGGCAGGGTGATCTTAAGCGTGGGGAGAGGAGATTGGAGGTAGGAAAAAGGCGACGTAATCTGTGTTCTGCAGAGGCGTGTCTGAATTACCTGCTTCTTCATGGGACCATGTTAAAAAATGGACATGATCTGAGGGTGGGGGTTTGGGCCCTCCGATGTCAAAAGGTCATTCACTGGACACCTGTGCAGGCCCAGTTTTAGGGTTGGTGGTCCCAACCAGCCTTAACTGGCTTGAGCTCGGACTGGACACAGGTGACTCCAAGTTCCTGGAAAACAACTCAGAGCAAACATCTTATTTTGCAGGACGTGCACGTTTTTGTATCGACAATTAAGGTGAGCTTGACCAGTGAAGGCAGGTTACAAGCGGAAGGGTTTTTTTTATTGAAGTACACTTAATTTGCAATGTTGTGTTAGTTTCAGGTGTACAGCAAGGCAATTCAGTTTAGGTCAGTTTTGTATATATGTATTGTTTTTCAGATTCTTTTCCATTATAGGTTATTAAAAGATACCCGATATAGTTCCCTGTGCTGTACAGTAGGTCCTTGTTGTTTATGGAGGAGTTTTTAAGAAGCTGTAAAGACAAGCTCAAGGATTTGTTACCAATTTCTGTTAACCCTGTGGGGCACAGTTTCAAGGGCAGATCCGGCCACTTAGAGGTCCTACAGGTGAAGGCAAAACCTCCCTTCGTTACCTCTTCCGGTTCCTATCAGGCATGGCTGGATCAGACCCGCAGAGTGTTACCCCCGGCCCGGCCTCAGCGCGGGGTTGGGGGGGAAGTAGCCAGAAGCCCAGGTGGCCCAGCCCCGCGCGCAGGCGCAGACATCAGGTTCCGGCGCTGAGAAAGTGCGCAGGCGCATACATCGGGGCCCGCGCAAGCGCAAGCGCAAGCGCAGGCGTCAGAGAGCGCTCCGCCCCCGCGCCATTTCCGGGATCCGCGAGGCCGCCCAGGTACTCCAGGCCGGGGGCGGGCGGGAAAGGCGGCGCTGGCAGAGGCCCGGGGGTGTCGCTGTGCCGCGGAGGGCACTCCGCGCCCGTGCTCCTGGCTGTCCGTCTTGTGGTCCCCTCTCCCGGTGTCCGGCTCTCCTGGCTACCCCCTGGGTTCCAGAGCCGTTTCCCCGGGACTGGCGTCTCCGAGTGCGGCGCTCAGACCGCCGGGCCCGAAGGTTCCCGCGGCCTATGCGCCCCGCACGCGGCCCGCCCGATCTTCCACCGCGCTCACTGGGCTTTCTCTAGAAGCTCGCCGTTCTGGGTCGCGGCAGGTTGGTGAGGTTCAGCCGAGTGTTCGCTTGTGGCCGCGTGGAATCCCGTTGTAGAGCCGCAGACGACTCCCTTATTCCTTCTCTCCGTTGCACCTCCTCTCTGATGCTGCGGGAGGGTGGCTCAGTGGTATCCGTGCCCCACCCCACCACCGCGGGCTCTCGTAATTTCATCGGCCTTCTCGGCCCCGTCCCCCCGCCCCTGCTGCTTAACTTGTACAACCTTGGCCTTTCCCAGCCCTGATCCCGCCTTCCCTCTGCCCAGCCTCCGCACGCCGCGGTGCCCGGGGCTCAACGTGGGCTGCTCTCCCTCCTACCGTGGTTCGCCCTTAGCCGTCTCCTGTGGGACGCCATCCACCCCCTCGGTGCCACTGGCTCAGCCCTGCCAGCCCCCGGCCTCTCCCCTGGTCTCCAGCCGCCTCAGCAGCTTCCTCGGATGTCTGCCGGCAGATCAGCCGCAGCGCTTTCCTGCGCACCCGCGTGCCTTCTACACCTGCTTTGTTCACTTTCTGCATCTCAGTTCACCTCGCTGTCATGGTGCCACTGGTCCAAAAATAAGGGGTCATTTTTGAGTCCTTTTTAATTTTTACCCCTTTTCAAATTTTCCACTGGGTCTGGTGGTTCCATCTCCAAAACACATCAGGACGTGGCCCCAGCCACCGCACCAGCTTCCGGAGTGGTCAGGGGCTCCTGCTTCCACGGTCTGCTCAGCCCACCGCCCACCTGGAGCTGGGAGGACTTTCTTCAGTCTTCCTGTAGTTCCCTCTGGCTGTGCCAGGATAAACCCAGACTCCTCCTCCTGGCCTGTGAGATCTGTGCCCTTTGATCCCCCTGCCTGTCTGTCCTCATCCCCTAGAACGCCCCTCACTCAGAAAGCTCACGTCCACCCCATCCAGCCCGCTTGTCTGTTCCTCTAAATTCATTCCTGCATAAAGATCTCACATTATACGTGCTGTCTGTCGTATGTGCTGTTTTCTCTGCTCAAGCGTTCATCCAGGTCACTCATCTGATAGCCCCTTCCTCTCCTGGTCACCTGACTCAGAGCAACCTGCCCTGACCATGCTGCCACTCCCCACCCCACCCCCTCTGCCAGCCCGCCATTGCTCACTCCTGAGATGCTCACCTGCACCTGCTTCCTCCCGGCAGCCTCCAGGGTGGCTCGGTGTTCCCAGCACAGTGCACAGCACTCTGTGTGTTCATTGCTGGTTTTGTTTCTGCTGAGGGTGGGGAAGCTTTTCATGAGGCCCAGCCCTCAGGGGTGTTAGGGGGTCACCTTTGCGTCAGCACTGGTTCTGCTCCCTAGGTCTCTGCTGTGGCCACCTGAGCCTGCAGGATGTTTCACGGGATCCCAGCCACGCCTGGCATGGGAGGTGAGTGTGGCCGAAGCTGGGCCCAGGGACCCAGAGAGCCTAGACTTTCACCCTCTGTGGCAGAGGCTGATGGGAGTGGTGGCCGGAGCATCTGGGAGGTCTATAAGTGTCTGCCCCCGCAAGACCTCAGGTAGTGGCCAGCGGCCCAGAGACCTCTTCCAGGTGGGGTCAGCTGGACGCAGAGATGACAGCTTTAGTGTGGCTGGAACTTCAGGGGGTCTTAGGTATCCCACAGTTCTCAAGCCAGGGAAAAGATGACAGAGCATGTGACAAACGTGTGTGCCCATCACTGCAGCGTAAGCAAGGTAGCCTAGAAACAGGTGGGATGGAGGAGCAGCCCTGGCGCACAGCCCCCTGGACCCAGAGGCATGTCCTCTGCTCAGGTCAGAGGTCAAGCTGATGGGAATGCTGAGATTGAAATTCCCCCAGCTCCCTTTGGGCTCTTTGGGACATAGCCCGGGGGAGGCCTTGGGAGGGGCGCTGAGACAGGGCTGGGCCAGGGCGCTGGACAAGCTTGCCAGCGTGACCTTCGCAAGCAGCCTGCCAGCTGTCTGCCTGTTCTGTCGCAGCCCCTGGAAACAAGCCGGAGCTGTATGAGGTGAGCGGCGGGCACCTGCCTGGCGGCGCTGGCCAGTAGTCTTTATCTGCGTGGTCCTCACCGGGACCCCACAGCCACTGTGGTGCTGCTGGCTGACCCTCCGCCCTGTCTCCCCAACAGGAAGTGAAGCTGTATAAGAATGCCCGTGAGCGGGAAAAGTGAGTCCAGCACCCAGGCTGCCTGCCTCCCCCATACTGAGGGTCAGAAGGACATGGGGTCGGCCCAGGGAAACGGGTCCCAAGAAGCCTCTGCCAGGGGTGGGGTGAGAGGGGCAGCCAGACACGGAGCTCTGCCTCAGCGGCACCTTGGGTAGGACTGGCACCCTAGGCTCCGGGACCTTGGCTTCCCTGCCGTGGCGGCCGCATCTGAAGGATGCGCCCCCTCAGGTATGACAACATGGCAGAGCTGTTTGCAGTTGTGAAGACGATGCAGGCCCTGGAGAAGGCGTACATCAAGGACTGCGTCAGCCCCAACGAGTGAGAGCCCGCTTCCCTGCACCACCGACCCGTACTTGGAAGCTTGTTTCTGCCCTCCAGGGCTGGGGCGCTCAGTAAGGAGCGGGGGCGGGGGTCTGAGGCCCACCCAGCGCAAGGAGGGTCGCTTGGGTGCTGGCGGCCTTGGTACCATCTCGGGCAGGGACGCCCTGGCGGCAGTAGCCCAGCATTCTGGGGGGAGCGGTGCCCAGCGCCCTGGCGGCAGCATTCTGCCCCAGCTTTGCTACCTGGGGCCTCATCGGTGCAAAGGCATAGAAGGCGAGCAGGGTGGCACAGGCAGTCAGTCCGTGAGGTGCCGCTGGCCAGGCCTGGCAGCCAGCTGGTATGTGGGGCCTTTGTTCGGTGCAGCAGCCCCTCCCCCATAGGACCACGAGCTGTCAACGTGGAGGCACGGCCAACATGGCCCGAGGAGCGGGCACAAGGGGTCTTGCTGGGCCTCTGCCTGGTGTTGGGCTGGGGGCCAACCTGCACAGTCCAGGCCAAGTCCGTGTGGCAGCCATATTTTGGCCGTTACCACCTCCCGCCACCTTCCAGAGTTCTTTTTTTGTATAAACCAAGTGGGAAGGCTCGGTCCTCGATGGCCAATCCCTGGCCCTTCACCCAGCCCTCCGTGTGAGATGCCACCTGTCTGGAAGGGCGGAGGGAAAGCAGGACGTGCCAGGCGGCGCTGGCCTGGCGCTGAGGGCGGCAGCCTGACCCTTCCCCCCAGGTACACTGCGGCCTGCTCACGGCTCCTAGTCCAGTACAAAGCTGCCTTCCGGCAGGTACAGGGGTCAGAGATCAGCTCCATCGATGAATTCTGCCGCAAGTTCCGAGTGAGTGAGCGGCTCCTCCACCCTGAGGGGCGGAGGTGGGCGTGGGCATGGAGGCCGTTGGGCTGGGGCTGGGCTGCCCCGCGAGGCCCAGCACCGTGTGCCCTCCCTCAGCTGGACTGCCCGCTTGCCATGGAGAGGATCAAGGAGGACCGGCCCATCACCATCAAGGACGACAAGGGCAACCTGAATCGCTGCATTGCCGATGTGGTCTCGGTGCGGAGGCGGGAGGGCCACGTGCCCACAGCCCCGCGGTGCACAGAGTAGCTGGAGTGGGGGGCGGGCAGTCCTCCTGGGCAGCGTCCGGGAAACCCCCTGAGGCCCCTCCCATCCCAAGGCCCACGTGGGATGTGCCCAGGGCTCCCACCCACTGACCGCTCCTCAGCTGCAGGGTCAGGCTTAGGGCCCACGTGACCCCACGGCTGAGGCTGCGGAGGGGGAGGGCCGGCTGGTGCTGCCCCGGGCCCGGCCCTGCAGAGGACCAGGCTGGCGGGGGTCTTTGCCGGGGGCCCATGTCGTCTCACACACACCCTTGCCGCCAGCTCTTCATCACAGTGATGGACAAGCTGCGCCTGGAGATCCGGGCCATGGACGAGGTGCGGCTCCCGGGCGGTCGGGGGTGGGGGTAGGGGAACCAGGGTTGGTGTCCAAGCCGGTAGTGTTTCTGCAGATCCAGCCCGACCTGCGGGAGCTGATGGAGACCATGCACCGCATGAGCCACCTGCCCCCTGATTTCGAGGGCCGCCAGACGGTCAGCCAGTGGTGAGTGTCCCCTGCTGAGCCGCCTGTCCGTCGCAGCCCCGTAATCCCCCACCTGCCCCAGCCCAGCTCTGTGCTCTGTGCCCCACAGGCTGCAGACCCTGAGTGGCATGTCAGCCTCAGACGAGCTGGACGACTCCCAGGTGCGCCAGATGCTCTTCGACCTGGAATCAGCCTACAACGCCTTCAACCGCTTCCTGCACGCCTGAGCCCAGCCTCCCTACCCCCACCTTCTGCGACGGTTCCATTTCCCCCGACGTCTGCAAGCGTTTTGCCATGCACAGTGGCCTAGAGCCCGCTCCCCCAATAAAGATGCTTTCTGACCTCCCTGCTGCTGTGGGCGCCCCCCGCCCGCCCCAGGCCCGCCCTGCCTGTTTGTCTGCCCTCTGGGCCTCGGGAGCACGCAGCCCATTCATCAGGGAAGAGCCTCAGTGGCACTTTAGACGCAGCGCCTTCCCTGGTGGGCACGGCCTGGCAAGCCAGCAGGGGTGCGCCTCCCCGCAGGCCAGGTAGGCTTGCATCTGCCTGCCACACCTTCCCCCACCTCTCAGCTGAGAGCTTTAGGCAGCGCGGCGGCCCAGCTGGCCAGGTCGGCGCAGAGCCTGACACCCTTGCAGCAGGGCCCATCCTTGTGCGGTGGCTCACAGGAGCACCGGTTGGTAGCTCACAGTAGCACAGCTTGTCCTCCTGCCTGCCACCAAGGGTGTCCCTCACCCGGGAGCAAGGCCCAGCCGGCAGACGCCACGGGAGCCCCAGAGCTGGCCTTGCCCAAAGCCTGGTGGGGAAGCAACGCCTGCTCCAAGGCCTTGTGCCGTCAGTGCTGGAAGCTGCCTGGCCCCACGGGGTTCATGTCTGCGTCCTCATCCTCTGGGGCAGACAGCAAGCAGCAAACCAGAGACCAAGGCTCTGGGTTCCAGGGGGGTGGGTTCCAGTTTTAGCAGCTGTGGTGCTGGGATAAGGGACATGCTAGAGTTTCATCGTAGCATTTTCTCTTAGTGGTACTTCTTTGTACCTGGCTTCTAGAGACAACCAAATAAAGTGTGTGGTATCTCGAGTGGTGATGGAGGAGGTCCAAGGCTGCCATTGCATACGGGGTGGTCAGGAGCAGCTCTCAGCGTTGAACAGAAGGTCCAGGAGAAGTGAGCAGGGCTCCCTGGGGAAGGAGGAAGGGGGTGGGAAGCCGGGTGGGAAACAGGGCTGGAAGGCGGGTCAGGACTTGGGATTGTACCCAGGAGCACCAGATGCCAGTGAGGAACTCAGAGCAGAGGCCCTCATCTCTCTGGTGTGTTACGGGGAAGAGCAGAGTCAGCAAGTGAGGGGAGAGACCGTCAGCTTCTGGGTGTGGACCGTGCTGTGTGTGGCGCCCACAGTCTGCTGGACGCAGCGGTGGAATGAGAACTCCGGGGTTACACCAGGCTTGAGCCTGAGCACCTGGAGGGGTGGAAACTCCTATTGAAATGTGGACACCTGGGGAGGAGGGGCCCTGTGTGCACAGGCTGAGCTGGACTTGGCTCTCTGATGGTCAAGGGGGACTGTCAAGTGCGTGGCTGGACACCAGCGGGTGGAGTTCCATAGACAAGGGTGAAGACTGGTGTCTGGGGTGAAGGCATGCTATCACGGGTGCCAGGAATTCTACCCGAGGGGCAGGACTGGCGCTGCATCAATGCAGGAGCTGAAGAAGGGGCGACCGGGGCCTGGGGAGGAGACCAGAGGCCCAGGTGTGGAGGACGGTGAGCTCCAGGGCGGACCGAGCCGAGGAAGAGCCCTGCCGAGTCTGGCCCGCGGGGCTCTCGGTGACTTTGACAACAGTGTGGGTTGGGGTGAGGCTTCAGTGGAGCCTGGGAGAGGCCACCAGTGCCTGAGTCCCCGCGACCTGCTGTCAAGGGAGCTGAGGGGGCAAAGGGCCAGGGAGGGTTGTTTGGGTCTATTTTAATTTTTTATTGCAATGAAATATGTAAAACATGAAGTTGGCCACCTGAAACATTTCTGGGTTCAGCGGCATTGGGTGCGTTAACCACGTCGTGCGTTCATTGCCACCATCTGTCTGCAGGATCCTCTCGTCTTCCTAAACTAGACCTGTCCCCGCTAAACAGCTCCCTATCCCGCCCAGCCCCTGGCACCAGCCATTCTACCTTCTACCCCTGGATTCTGACGACCCCCGAAACCTCGAAGCAGGAATGGAATCACACAGAATTCGTTCTTCTGTGACTGGCTCATTTCGCTTAGCATAATGCCCTCAAGGTTCATCCATGTTTTAGCGAGACAGGATTTCCTTCCTTTTCACGTCTGAGTAATATTCCGTGGTGTGTCTAGACCATATTTGTTTATCTGTTCACCCGCTGATGGGCCCTTGGGCTGCTTCCCTCTTTGGGCTTCTGTGAATATCCTGCGACGAATGCGGGTGTCTGGCGCTTGCTGGATGACGGACTGATGCAGGAGGGGCCTGGGGATAAGCCCAGCGCTGGCGGGCGACAGGCAGATGTGCAGGGGAGTTGGTGACACACTCTGCGGCTGCCCTGGGCTAGGAAGGGAGGGCATGGGTAAGTGGTTGGGGGAACACGAAGCAGGGAAACGTGGGCCCACGCAGGGGGGTGCCGAGGCCCGAGGGGGTGCCAGCTGCGTGCCAGGCCTCCACCAGGGGACCTGAACGGCTGGGCTGAGACCTTTTCCCTGAAGCTAAGCAGGCCTTGAGCAGTGGATGACCTGAGGCAGCAGCTTGGTGCCAGGCTCAGCTCCAGCCAGCCCCGGCCCTGACAAGGTGGGGTAGGAAAAAGGCCAGTTTGGGCCCAACAACTGGGGGCGGGGGGTAGCCCAAATCTTTCCAGCTTCCCTCCTCATTGACTCAGGGGTCCAGGAGTCATCTGAACCCCTGGCAGACTCTTCCCATCCCCTCCCCTTGCCTGATACCCCTTTAGGCCCCACCGAGGTCACACTGCAGTGCCACCCAGCATGTGTGTGGGTGAGAGGGCAGGAGCCACACCTGAACTCGGGCCCAGGACACCGTCCTCAGCCTGAGGCCCCGCCCTGGGTGGCACAGGATGGTGGGGACAGAGTCCTGGGGCCCGAGCTCCCAGCTCCCCTGGAGCCTCTCCTCCCCCACCCCAACCACGCTCCCTAGGGACAGGGTCAGGGTCAGCAGTTGGTCCAACCAGGTGTGGAAGGGGCCACCCACACACTCCCTCTAGAAGGCAAGGCTGCCCCGAGACTGGGGTTGGCTAGCTCCCTGGGGTCTGCCCCTTTCCCCAGACTGCCAACTAGGCAGAGATAAGGCCTAGAAGTTCAAAGGCCGGAGCAGGAGGCAGCAGGGAGGGGCAGGGCCGGGAGCCACAGTTCTCCCCCTCTCCCTGAGCCTAGTGACCCCTTCCTGCTTCCTGCTGCCCTCAGGGCCCAGGAGCCCCTCACTGGCCGGTGAGCTGGGGGGTATGGGCGGGGCGCCCAGCCTCCTCTTTGCTCTTGTTTGTGTGGGGCTTTGGCCATTTCCTGGGGAGTTTCCCCTGGAGGGTTTGGTGAGGGGCACATGACTCAGCCAGCACCTTATCTCAATTCCCTCGGATTCCAGCCCCCGCAAGAATTTCAGCACAGAATTCCATCGCAGCTCAGGACCCCACGCCCAGGGAGGCCCTCGAAGGCTCTGGGGTGTCTAAGTTGCCTGAGCCAGGGGGCTGGGGGGGGCCCTGCTGGGGATGCTGCAGGGAGGGGAGTGGGGCGGGGCCGTGTGGGGGCTTTCAGGTGGGACGTGGGGACTGGGCCTGTGGTGGTGTCTTGGAACCTCTGCGCCAGGCCCCCTTGGCTTGGGGGCAGCTCTCAGAGAGAGGGCCCCGGGAAGCAACACCCACACTGAAACGGAGCTCCCCTAAAACCGAGTTCCTCTGCCAAGTTCCTCCTCAGCCTCTCTATGCAAATCTTGTTCCCTGTCTTGTCTGACACCTGTTCCCCTCAAGACTGAGGAGTACCAAAAAAAGGGCGGGGGATTGAAACTGAGCAGGACCCTGGGGGGCTTCCTGAGTACAAATCCTTCCCTCGTCCCCCGTTTCTTGTTTGTAGGAAACGGGCTTCATTCAGCCCCCTAAGACCTTCCCTGAGTTCCAAAGGGCAGGTTCAAACCTTTGCTAATCAGGGAAGGGAGGGGATGCAGAAACAAAGGAGGGGCAGTCAAGAAACTACAGCCTTGGGGCAAGGTCCTGGCTCCCCTTGGAGCTCTCCTGCCAGAACTAAGGCCCCCACCCAGGTGGAAGATGGTGACTACCAGCTGGGACCCCAGAGCACCGCCGAGAAAGTCACATGCCCTGCTGCCCTCACCCCAAATTTTGCCTATTAAAGGCTCCCCAGAAACCATCGGGGAGTTCAGGGATTTTAAACACGAGCCACCCGTTCTCCTTGCTCGGCCCCCCAGTAAACCCGTCTCTGCTCCAGACTCCGCCGTTTCGGTTTGTTTGGCCTCACTGTGTGTCGGGCACACAGACTTGCGTTCGGTAACAAGATCCTTGCGGGAGCAGAGTGGGTGGCCGGGGGCCACAGCTCAGTGGGCCGCCCCGTCCAGCCCGGGCTCGCCCCCCGGGGGCAGCAGCACCTCGCTCGCTCGCTCGCTCGGGGAGGACCTGGAATGGTTAACCTGCGACACCTCCAGCAGCCAATCACAGGGCCCCGCAGGAAATGCCTGGAGAGCCTCGCCGGGGCGGGCGGGTCCCAGCCCAGCCCAGAGTCTGGCGCCAGGCAGCCCACGGGGCCCGCAGCCACCCAGGCGACCATGGCCTCCCTGGAACTCAGAGCACCCGGGGGCCGCAGCTTGGCTGGCCTGGCCGGGCCCAAGCCGGGGCTGCTGCTGGCCTTGCTGGCTGTGCTGGCGTTGGCCGGGGCGGCGGCCCCACCTGCCCGTCTGCTGGCCCTGCTGTCCTCAGGCCGGGGCGCTCTGCATCGCAAGGCGCTGGACAGCCTGTTAAATACGCTAGCGGTCCGTGTGCGTTGCGCCGACGGGCCGTGTGGAAAGGTAACGGCCCCACCCGACGGGTCCCCGGCCCCGGCCCGCGCTCCACCCCGAGGGCCGGCGGCAAAGGGCTCGGGCAAACTCCAGGAGGCGGGCCGAGTGCAGTGGCCTGGCGCTCGGGCGCTGCCTGCAGGCCCGAGCCCACCCTCCCCGACTCCGCATTCAGACCCACCTGCCCTCCCTGTTGGTGGGACGGTGGCGTGTAGGGACCCGCGGCTCCGGGACCCCAGGGCTGCCCCACCCCCACCCCATCAGCCCCCAGGCCAGCAAAGTGGCAGTGGGTCCAGGAAGAAACCACCCTGAGGTGGCGGGACCCCTGTGTGTACGTGTGTGTGTACGTGTGTGTGTGTGTGTGGGGTGCGCGTATGCGTGTGTGTACGTATGCGCACGCGCCGTCCTGTCATTGGGGGGGGGATGGTGGGGAGAGATGGTGGGGAGAGCACGTGAGTGAGCAGGTGATGGAGGGGTGTCGCTGTGAGAGGGACGGAGAGGATGGTGGTCCCTGTGTGAGGCCCCCGCAGGGAAGGGGGCGGCTCCTGGGCCACAGATACCTGGCCCCCGCCCACCTGTCTCTGCCCACAGTGCCTGTCTGTGGAAGACGCCCTGGCCCTGGGCAGGCCTGAGAAGCCAGGGCTCCACTCTGCTCAGGCCCTGGAGCCCAGGCACATCGCCCGCCTCAGCGCTGCCGCCGCCCTCTACCTCAGCAACCCGGAGGGCACCTGTGCGGATGTCCGGGCTGGCCGCTGGGCCTCCCGCGCCGACCAGCTCCTGGCCCTGCTCGAGAGCCCTGAGGCCCTGACCCCAGGCTTGACCAGGCTGCTGCAGAAGATTCAGGCCCAGGCCGCTGGCCGGCCCACTTCTGCGGAGGTGGGGGCCCGGGCGGGCTGGCCAGGGGTGGTGGGTGAAGAGGAGCCAGGAGGGATTGGGGGGAGGGGGACCCCTTAGGGGGTTGGGCCTCAACGCCTTTCTGGGCACTTGGGGGAGTCTGGGCTGGGGGAATCACAAATGGACGCTCCCCACTGAGTAGGGCAGGGCTGCAGGAGCCCCAGGAGGGGCCCTGACCCTGGACAGGGTCTGAGAAAGCTCCCGGGGCTACAGGGAGGAGCCCTGGGGGGAAGGTGGGGGCCTGGACCCACTGGGCCAGGAAGGGGGAGGCCTGTGGTACCAGGGAGGGGCCCCAAGCAGGGGAGGGGCCCAGCCCAGGTCTGAGGTGAACAAGAAGAAGTGGTGCTCCCAGGAAGCTGCTCCAGAGTCACTGGAGTCCAGGGGGCACCAGGGACAGTGGCAGAGCTAGAGGCCAGGAAGTCCACACTGCCAGTGAGACTGAGGTCCAGCTCCTCCCCAGGCCTGTGTAGACCTGCCTCAGCTGTTGGAGGAAGCAGCGGGGGTGGGGTCTCCCGGCAGCCCCGGCCCAGTCCTGGCTGCCCTGCTGGACCACGTCAGGAGCGGGTCCTGCTTCCGAGCCCTGCCGACCCCTCAGTACTTCGTGGATTTCGTGTTCCGGCAGCACAGCAGCGAGAACCCCAACATCACACTGGCTGGTGAGGCCTGAGCTGGGCCACTGGGCAGGGAGTGCCCTGAACCCCAGCATCGGTGCCCCTGGGGAGTGCAGGGCTGGAGCCCACACAAACTTTGTCACTCTGTCCTCCCTGCCAGAGCTGGAGGCCTTGATGCAGCGCCTGGGGGTGGGCGGAGAGACCGAGACCCATGGTGACCACAGTGACCACGGTCATCGGGGAGAGGGGGCCAACCGCCAGGGCCCTGTGCCCCCTGCCACCCCCAACAGCAGCTCCAGCATGTGGGACACAGTGAGCAGTCCATGCGCCCTAGTCTTGGAGAGAGGTGGGGTCCCACCAGTCTGCTCAGGTCCCTGACCCCCAGGCCTGTCACCCCCCCCAGGTATGCCTGAGTGCCGGAGATGTGATGGCTGTGTATGGGCTGTCTGAGCAGGCTGGGGTGACACCGGAGGCCTGGGCCCAGCTGAGCCCTGCCCTGCTCCAGCAGCAACTGAGTGGGGCCTGCAGCCCCCAGCCTGAGCAGCCCACCCAGGACCAGCTCAGTCAGGTGCAGAGTGAGTGCCCACCTCCCCAGCTGTGCCTGGCTGTGCCCAGGGGCCTGGCAGCATGGAGGAGGAACCGAAAAGGGAGGAGGAAGTGGCCGCTGGGTTTGGGAGGGGCGGGGAGAGCTGGGCCAGGGCTGGCGTAGAGGGGTAGCAGGGAATATGGGGGCCTGAAAGGGAAGAGGATGGGGTTTCGAGGCCGGAGGGCTAGCAGGAGCGGCCCTGGCGGGTCTTGCTCGCTCCTGGACCCCACCTGGACACCCTTCCCTGGGAAGCGGGGGCTGGGGGGCTGAGGCTGTGTCCCCCCCCAGGGTACCTATACGGCTCGCTGGCTACACTGCTCATCTGCCTCAGCTCCGTCTTCGGGCTCTTGCTGCTCACCTGCACCAAATGCAGCACTGCTACCCACTACATCATCCAGACCTTCCTGAGCATGGCTGTGGGCGCGCTCACAGGCGATGCCCTTCTGCACTTGATGCCTCAGGTTGGCCCCCAGCCCGCCAGGACCCTCCCTCCCCCACCAGGGACTCGCCTACCCAGAATTCCTTCCAGGCACACCCTCCTGGGACCCTTCCCTGACCCCTAACCCCTAGCTCCTTGTCTGGGGGGAGGAGGCCCTGGGGCAACTGGCCCAGCGCCCTCTGCCCCCCCAGGTGCTGGGGCTGCACTCCCATGATGGCGAAGGCCTTGGTTCGCAGCCCACCTGGCGCCTCCTAGCTGCGCTGGGTGGTCTCTATGCCTTCTTCCTGTTCGAGAGCCTCTTCAACCTCTTGCTGCCCCTGGACCCGGAGGTCAGGTGCATGGGGGCTGGACGCGGTGTGGGGAGGAGGGGGGGAGGCGTGGTGGACCCTGAGGCGCTGTCCCCGCAGGACCGAAAGGACGGGCCCTGCAGCCACGGCCACAGTCACGGCGGCCACAGCCATGGCGTGTCCCTGCAGCTAGCGCCGAGCGATCTCCGGCCTCCCAAGCAGCCCCACGAGGGCTCGCGCGCAGACCTGGTGAGCTGGCTCTTACCGGACGTCCCTACCCCACGCGGAGCCCTGTCTGCACTCCCAGCCCCCACTCCAAGGCTTCTGCCCCTGGCCTGAGCTGAGGACCTAGCTCCGCGAGCCCCTCCTCACCTCCCCGCCCAGAGGCTCATCTACGCGGACCGCATCCCCCCCCCCGCCCCACAGGTGGCGGAGGAGAGCCCCGAACTGCTGAGCCCGGAGCCCCGGAGACTGAGCCCAGGTGAGCCCTGAGGGAGGCCCCGGAAGCACTGGGTGCCAGGGGTTCGGTGCGCAGCACCGGCGCGGGGTGGGGGGCGGGGGCGAAGAGGTGCGAGGCAGATGCCCACCCACGCCGGCCGCGCCCGCAGAGCTGAGACTGCTGCCCTACATGATCACGCTGGGAGACGCCGTGCACAACTTCGCCGACGGTCTGGCCGTGGGCGCCGCCTTCTCCTCCTCCTGGAAGACGGGGCTGTCCACCTCGCTGGCCGTGTTCTGCCACGAGGTGCCGCACGAGCTGGGTGAGCCGCGAGGGGTTCCAGCGGGGCGGGGCCTGCCTGGGGTGCGGTTGGTTGGTTGGCGGGACAGTTGGGAGGGACTATCGGAGCGGGGCGAGGTCTGTCGGGGGTGGGCGGGGCTCTCGGCCTGACCCCGCCCCTCCCGCCCCAGGGGACTTCGCGGCCCTGCTGCACGCGGGGCTGTCGGTGCGCCTGGCGCTGCTGCTGAACTTGGCCTCGGGGCTCACGGCCTTCATCGGCCTCTACGTGGCGCTCGCGGTAGGCGTCGGCGAAGACGGCGAGACCTGGATCCTGGCGATAGCCACTGGTCTCTTCCTCTACGTGGCGCTCTGCGACATGGTCAGTGCGGAGTGCGGGAGGGGACTGCAGTGGGCGGCAGCTGAGCAGGAGCTCTGAGCTGACTTCTGACCCAGGGCCCACCTCCTCCGCAGCTCCCGGCCATGCTGAACGTGCGGGACCGGCGGCCCTGGCTCCTCTTCCTGCTGCACAACGTGGGCCTGCTGGGCGGCTGGACCGTCCTGCTGCTGTTGTCGCTGTATGAGGATAATATCACACTCTGATAGCCTCTGCCCCAGTCTCAGTCCTTGACTCTGGCTCCTGGCCCTGCACTATCTCAGCCCCTTAGAAACCGCAGCCACCCGGAGAGCCCCAGTGCCCATCTTCAATAAAGATACTTGTGTTCGGAGCCCAGCCTGCTCACCTCGCTGGGAGGGAAGGGTCTCCCACCAAGAAAGGTCGACAGGTGGGGCAGTATCTCTCCCCATAGCAGTGCCTGGTGCCTGACGAGGAGCCAGTATAGCTGAGCTCAGGGACCTCCAAGTAGCCATCCTCAGTCCCCTCATCTGTAATGCATGGCAAGAGAAGCCAGAGAAATGGGCCAGGGTCTGAGGGCCGCAGGGAGGACCTGGGATCCAATCAGGAATCAAATTTGTTTGCTTGTAGCAGAAAAAACAAAACAAGCAGCAGCATTTACACAGGTGAGGGCTTGTTTCTCTCATGAAAAATGGGCCTGGAGATAATCAGACCAGGGTGTGTGGCAACCCTCCGTGAGGCCCGGGCCTCTACTGCTCTGCTCCACTGTCCTCGGCAGAAGTGTCCATCCTCAGAGTCCCCCCCATGTGGTAGTTTCCTAGGGCTGTAGCACAGCCCACCACACACTGGGTGCCTTAGGACGTCCGAAATTTATCTTCTCCGAGTTCTGGAGGCAGAAGTCTGAAATCGAGGGGGCAGCAGGCTGTGCTCCTCTGAAGTCTCTAGGGAAGAATCTGTTATGTGAGCTTCTACTGGCTTCTTGTACTGGCAGCCCCATCACCCCTCCCACCCCCCAGCCTTGGACCATCCTCCAGCCCATCACTGTCCATTTCGAGCAGCTTTGAGCCACCACTTCCACTGACAGCCTCCCTAAATTTCCCATTGAAGAAGTGCGCCCACCAGGCAGGCCCACATCTGCTTTCCTGCTGGCAGCCCTACAACTTCCCAGTCCCTCCGCCCACCTTCTCCTCCTGTGTGACTGGAATGCAGCTGCACCCCACCCGCTGCTGCTCTCCCAGGACTGTGCTCCTTCAGTATCTCTGCCTCTCTCTGCACCGACCGCCTCTCTCCCACACACAAACTCTCATTCCTTTGTCAGGGCGCTTGCCACATGCCAGGCTCGAGTCTGAGGGCTCTGTGGCCACTGAGCTGTTTACCCATCACAGATGCCCTGCGCTGTGGGTGCCATGACTATGCCCATCTGACTTGGATGAGGAGAGTTAG